TAAAAAAAAAAAAAAAAAAAAAAAAAAAAAAAAAAAAAGACAGTATGCCTACCTCTGCAAGTGTTGGCTCTAATGTTGGTTTCTCCTCAGCAACACAATGTGCTAATAATTTATATAAGGGCTCAAGGATAAACTCCGTAAACATTCTTGGTGCATCCTGTATAAATAAATAAATAAATAAATAAATAAATAAATAATATTTATTCTATTCTTATTCATCATTAACACATCGTATCCTCCTGCTGCTCCTGCTGCTGTTGTTGTTGTTGCTGCTGCTGTTGCTGCTAAGGTTGTTGTATCGTGCTATATCCCCAATAAGAGACCACACAGCCGCAGCAGCCAACAGCAACAACAAAAACAGCAAACACGAACAACAGCAGCACCATCAGCACCAACAGCAGCAACAGCAGCAACAGCAGCAACAGCAGCAGCAGCACGAGCAGGAGCAACAGACGTACAGGATAAGGAGGTGCAGATACAATTTTATTAGTTTGTGGATCTCGATAGAAATCCCCCCAAAGAGAAATCTCAAATAATTCTAACTTTGTATAAATATCCTCTGCATGCAAATATTTATTTATTTCTTTTATTTCTTCTTGTTGTTGTTCTTGTTCTTTTTGTTTCTTTTTCTTATTACTACTACTACTGTTGCTGTTGCTGTTGCTGCTGTTGTTAGATTCACGCTGCAGCTGCTGCTGTAATATCTCTGTCTCCATCAATTGCTGAACAGGTATACCACCAAAGAAAGCCTCTTTGCTGCTATTTTTACCATTCTTGCTGCTGCTGCTGCTGCTGCTGCTGCTGCTGCTGGTGCTATTAGCAGGATAATCATCATTGTTGTCTGTTGTTGCTGCTGTTGCTGTTGGATTAAATACATAAGAATCAAAATAAAGAGCAGCAAAAGATTCAACAGTAAATACAAAAGAAAATTGACTCATAGCAAACAATAAATTCCTATTTCTTGGGGAAATCACAAGACGGGGTAATCCACGAACACTGCATAGGGTCTCAAGGGTCTCATTTAGCTGCAAGAAAAAAAGAAAAAAAGAAATAAATAAATAAATAAATATATATATATATATATATTTATATTTATATTTTATTAAATATAATATTAATATTACGTATTTTTTTACGTGCTTTATGTACAAATGGCAAACAAAGAGGCAAAAACATCACACATATAACAACCCTCGAACAGCAACAGCAGCAGCAACAACAACAGCAGCAGCAGCAACAGCAGCAGCAACAGGAATAGGAATATGTATATGTTTATTTACCTCATCAAGTATACATTTAATCTTATAGTAAGCATCTTGTGGTCTAAGCCTAAGCTCGAGTATAATTCTATCAAGTTTATTAATAACAACAACAAGAGAGAGTCCTTCCTCTAGTATTTGTGCTAATTGTGCAGCAGCAGCAGCAGATAAACCCTCTAATGCATCAATAAAGTATACAGCACCATCACATAGACGAAGAGCAGCAGAAGCCTCGTCAGAAAAACATACATGACCAGGTGTATCTATTATATTAAATAAATAACTACGTGAACCTCCATATACACCATCATCTTCATCATCATCATTGTTGCTGCTGCTGCTGCTGCTGCTGTTGCTGCTGCTGTTGTTGTTGTTGGTACTGGCATTACTGAAGGAAGTTATGTTTGTAACAGTTGGGGTGTCCTGTTGACCATCTTTATTGTTTGCTGCATCTGTTCCTGCTGCAGTATCTCCTCCACCTGATGCTGCTGCTGCAGCATCGTCTGTTTCCTGCTGCTGCTGCTGTTTCTGCATACTTCTTGTCTCTGGCTGAATTTGTCTTTTACGGAAATGTTTGGATGTTTGGAGGACAAGACAAAGAGGAACAGCCTTAATAGATAATCCTCTTTTTTGTTCATCTTCTCTTGTATCTGTATATCTCCTAAAATATGTTTTATGCCTCTTATTTGCATGCGGTGTCTCTACATGTTGTGTTAATAAGGAAAGACCCTCAGGTAATCTATATGGATGTGTTTCCTCAACAAGCATATCTACAAATGATGTTTTTCCTGTATGTAGTGCACCTAATAGGCATATATTACGTACACATGTAGGTGTATGCATTAATCCAGCTAAATAATCAAAAGAAAATGTTGTTTCTGGTAATCTTGTCTCTAATAAATCAAATGTTGCATGCTTTATTGGTGTTATAATTGGTTCTGTTATAGGTTGATAGTCTTCTTCTTGTATAATTGTTTCTGCTTCTGGATATACTTCTTCTGCTGTTGGATAATATTGTTTTAATTCATGAGGAACAGGTTTCTGTTGTTGTTGTTGCTCATCTTCTTCTTCCATACGTACTAAACCACGACGTAATAACTCCCCTTCAGCACCTCCTGCTGCTCCGCTTCCACCTGCTGCTGCTGCCGCGGCAGCAGCTGCTGCTGCTGCCGCAGCAGCAGCTGCACCCGATGCCTCAATTGCTGCCTCCTCATCTTCTGATTCATCAGACTCCTCCAACTCTGGCCCAATATAATTGCCAAACTCGTCGTAGTTATCGAGATCCATGGTGCTTAAGGAGCAAATTCAAAAAACCTCACAAGAAAACCAAGGGAAATATACACCTAAATCGATGGCGTAACCTCCGAAACAAAGAATATATATACAGGAAATAAAAAGAAAAAAACATACAAATACAAATTACCAAACTATTCCCCTCAATAACCTGCTGCTACTGGCCTCTGCCTCCTTCTTATCCACCTACAAGATGCGACACCACCAGTAGCGGCGCAGTCAGAAAAGGGGTGTATAGCGCCTCCAATCAATGCAGTTTTACCCTTTGCTTGGCAGCAGAGGCAAAAAAAGACCAAATTATAGGTAAACGTATCCAGAAGATCTCCCTTGAAATGCAGCTCCTCCACTTGCATGCATAATGCTGGCTACTCGGTATGCATGTGCTCGTGGGGCTGGATTTTGCGGCAATTTGACTCAAAAAATACACACATTTAAGAAAAATGTCATCAATCTCTGCAAATCACCTATAATATGCGTGTATTCACCATGAAAATCTAAAAGGAGACAATATACCCTCGCGCTTCTGCCCCCGTTGTTCCTGTTCCCCCGAGCGCCACCCCACGGACTCCCCTTCGTATTGCTTGCTGCACTTAGCGATTCAAATGAAGGTAGTCCATTAATTATTCTAATATTTGTTTTGTTTAGAGGAAAATATCAAAGAAAACTTCACAGATTAAGAAACTGCATAGCACAACGTTCCGCTCTCAGAACCGTGCTGAGGAGGGGTTCCCGTAGATGAGTTCACTACACCTCTCCCTCTCCTTCTTTTCAGCGCATTCCCCTTATTTCCTAGTAGTTATATCATACGTTGAAAACTAAATTTTGGCGTTTTATACGAATTTTCTTCGCATTTTCCTCAGTTGCGTCCTTTTATCATCGTAATTTTTGTATTTGCGTCCAGCTGGACAGCTCCGTTGCATCTTCTACTCTAGTTGATGCGTGCTCTTGTCCGTCTTAACAGCGTCTGTTTTGTCGTAATTCTTGTATTGTTTAATACATTTAAACACAAATATACTTTTTTGTTGGTAAACTTCTTGTCTTGATTGTGTTTCCGTGGCGGGTTGCCTTCCATGCCCTATTCAGAAGTTGCGGTATTCCGGACAGGCAGCCATTTAGAGCGTAGGATAACGAGACATGTCATCATTATTATAAGTTACTATTCTAATTTGCAATTAATAACATTATAAGGCAGTTGTCACATCTCTCTGACGGCTTTACGCCCTCTACAGCCTCTACTCCTGGGGCCCTTCTAAATATGCCTTTGTATCCCCATGGTAGAGAAAGGCCCACACGCATATGGGGGTTAGAAGGGCGCATGCAGGCGGCTTAAGGCTCAGACTTTAAGGTGTATTGTTTATTGTTAATGCATGTGTTAACGCTGTGACGATGGTCATACCGCAAGTATATCAGTAGGGAGCATTTCTCTGCTGACCATCTCTCTGGAGTACAAATACACACTGCAGTTTCGTATAAGTAAGTGCCCACTTGGCTCCAGGTGATGCTGCTGCAGATGCACACCACCGGGGCATGCATGCATAGTTGACATTGCACCAATGACACTGCATGCATGCGTGCATGCATGTACGGTATGTATGCATGCACTCATCAGTGCACGCTCACATGCCTACATACATGGGTGCTCGTCGGAAGTTCCATCACTGCATACAGGAACTAATGTATATAAATATATGTATATTTATATATATAACATACATCAATATTGGGTGTATGTAGCATGCAGGGTGTGTGTGAGATGCCAGTTAGTTCTGGTTGTTTGCATTAAGAGCTTAAGATGTTTTCCTGAGGAAGACCTTCGCAATCCGTTCAATAGCTTCTTTCATTTGTTCCTCTGTGATATTGAGGGGTGGGAGGAATCGTAGTACTGTGCCTCGTGTAGGTCTGCAGAGGAGGCCTTCTTCTTTGAGTTGCATGCATAAGTGCATGCATTCTCCGCTGCTTCCGTCTATTTCGACGGCATTAAAGAGACCTTTCCCTCGAATATCCTTTATGAAGTGAAGTTTATGTTTATCTTTAAGGCGTTGAAGTTCGCTGCGTAATAGTTCTCCTTGGATGCACGAATTTTCGAGCATTCCTTCTTCAAGTAGCACACTGAGTGCTTCATAGCCAACAGCGCATGCAAGTGGATTGCCACCAAATGTAGATCCATGTGTGCCTGGAGAGAAGACTTGCATAATATGTGCGTCAGTAATAACGGCGCTACAAGGCAAGACGCCTCCTGATATGCTCTTTCCCAGCAACACGACATCAGGTCTCACGTAGTCCCAATCACAAGCTAGCAGCTTCCCACTCCTCCCTAAACCCGCTTGAATTTCGTCAGCTATCAGCAGCACGTTGTGCTCGCGGCAGAGTTCTGCTGCTGCCCTTAGATACCCCCGCTGCGGCACCACCACCCCTGCTTCCCCTTGGATCGGCTCAACAAAGAAGGCAGCCACTTGAGGGTCTTGCAAAGCCTTCTCTAGAGCTTGCAAATCGTCGTAAGGAATCAACTCAAATCCGGGTGTAAACGGACCAAAGCTGCAGCAATCACATGCAGCAAACGCGCATGCAAACGACACAAGGGCGACAGCAACGCATGCGTGAATAACACAACATTACATGGCTGCTTATGCAGCAGAGCAAGATAGTCAACAACAACACAGTCGCAGAAACAAGCGAGCAAGCCTCAAGTATGCAGCTAGTCTCTTTAGGAAGAGAGCAGCAGCGACTACTCTAGCATCATCAGCAGCAGCAGCATCCTGCAACACCGAGGCCCATGCAATGCAACAGAGCACATCCCCAAACGAGAAAACGCGCAGACAGCACAATAAATATGTCGTATATGTATGAATGTATATTAGGTGGCGAATATATATATTGAGAACGGGAGGTAGATATACATCAGAGACATCAGAATAAGGGGCAGAAATTAGGAGTATTTACTGTCTGTAGTTCTCGAGAGTGGTGGAAGAACTTGCTGCAGCGATTGTTCTTCCCCAATAGTTGTTGTTGCAAAAGATGATTTTTGCACTGTCTTTTTTAAGCCCTTTTACCTCATATCCCCACTTACGAGCCATCTTCACCGCTGTTTCCCCCGCCTCAGCGCCTGCAGCAATAAGGAGCAACAGCGGCAATCCATACAGCAACATACAGCCACAGCAGGAGTCCGTACAACCAGCAGCAACAAACAACACCAGCAGCAGCAGCCCTCACAGAGGTCAGCAACAAACAACAGCAAGGAACGTAAACGGCATCAACCAACACATTCAATTTATTTGTCTTGGTCAATTTCTTTGCTCCTGAAACGCTTGGTTGCAAGTAGGGCAGAGATGGGTTTAGGCTTTAGGGTTTTGTTTGCACGTCAGCCCACCCCCATCTCTGCAGATCTTGACACTAATAAGTATAGATAAGTATATGCAGACACATATATACAAATATATATTGATTAATTCATTTTATTGTATTCACATATTCTTAGTATTTCCTCTTGGGTGTCTGCACTGGCGCCGCTGCGGTTACCGCTGGCTGCCTTCCCAAGTAGATGCTCTTCCGGGCGTGAATTTGTGATGCATATGCAGGTGGTTAGTAGATGCTGACCTGTATTCATGAGGAGGGTACGTTGATATCCAAAGAGCTCATTAAGGAATTTGCAGAACACAGACATGCAATCGTTATGCAGAGCTCTGGAAGTAAGGGTTAGGCGGTCTGCCTGTGCCTTAAGAGCAGCAGTAATTCGTGGGTGACAGTGCCCTTGATTTAAACTCTACAGCAGATAAGCACAGATAATGAGCAGCACAAGCAGCAACGTCTTACATGCATTCTATAAACCCTCCAAAGTTGCTCGGTGTGCTGTTCCCCCGAAGAATGTGTTGAGATATTAAAGGGATAAACGTAGAAAAGCACCAAAACATACAACAAAAATGATTGCTAAGAAAACTCAAGATGTTGTTGTACAACCTGCTTTTCCTTCATTTAATCTAATCTATGTTTGCATTACCGCATAGGAGAGATCGTGTGGCCAATGGTTGTGCGTAGGCATTCAATAACTACACTGAAAATCTTGCACAGGGAATGCCTCTAAAGACGGGGGAGCCGCGGAAGTGTACAGGGAGGAAAGGGTGATGCATGCTTATGCTGCTGTTGTTGCAACTGTTGTTGCCGCTGGTGTTTCTTCTGGCAGCAGCTGCGGCTGCCGGTTGCTGGCCTTGCATGGAGCTGCAGCATTTGCGTGCCTGCTGTGGCGCGTATCGTTCGCATATATCTCACTGAAATTCCGCAGACAAAGTCAAAGTACTTATTTCCTTCTGTGTCCCAGACATATACTCCTTCTCCTCTGCTTATAACAACGGGTGTCGGCAAGTAATTGGGGGAACAGTTAGCCTTATCTAGGCGAATGAAATCCTCCTGCTTCTTTAGGCCTGCGGTCTTGCGGTACTCCTCAAAAGATTTACTCCTTGATCTTGCTTGAGTGCTAAATGATTTCGAGCTGCCTATACACCCCAATTCAGGCCACAACCCTCGTTGACCAGTGGCCTGGTTGCAGCGGAAGGGGGAAATGGAAGCCCTGGGCGTTAGCGCACAGCCAGGAGGACCAGAAGGAGCTTGCAAAAGACGAGAAACAGAAAAACGAATCATGTTGCTTGTATATTATGTTGTTTCTTATTTATCCAATTGCAATGAGGTGCAGACAACTGCAATGACTGGAGGTTGACGGCGCGGCGCGGCGTTGCGGAGAACAACGACAAGGGGATCTCTCGTGTCGTTATTTGTTCTTCTAAACGTGAAATCCAATAAAATTAACCGCTTAAAGCAGAAGCATTAATTCAAAAAGACCCTCACATGCACAGGACACCCCATTTGCTGTTGCTGCATGTCAACCGCTGTAGCAGCAGACCATAAAGCGGCATCTTCAGCCCAGCCCCCATAGAAGGCGTTTGAAACTCAATGACAAACCAACAAATATACTTGTTTTTTGGCTTTATTGCAAATGTGTCTCTTAATTTCTCTGCAAAGACACTAGAATGAGTGATTACCCTCCTTCCCTACAATGGCAGCATCGTCCTTCCGTTATTTCATCAGTACCGACTGAGATGCTAGTCTGTTACCATTAGGGCGGATGCAACGTATACACTTCACTTGCAACTATTCTTCGTGTTCCTTTTCATGTTAAGTTGTAAACTTCTGCTCTTATTTCTATGCATCAATGAATAAAACCTTCAACGGGCGGCAACAACAATGCATCTGCTTGCCCCCAATCGGCCACTCGCTGCTTTCGGCACATGCAGCGGGGAAGAAGGCAAAAGAAGTTAAGGAAAAGTGCAATTCCTTTGAAACTTACAAATATTCAATTTACTTCCGAAAGGTTTCTTAAAAGCAAAGAGCCCTAGTCCACTCACGCCTATATTTTGTAGGTTCCTGCATTACAGTGTGCATTCCCCGTTTCTACTAAGCTACGCATTCTTTACTCATGAACGCCAGCTGTTATTCTTTGACAATTAGTTCAACAATATAGACCCACATTTACATTAAAACATTTAAATGTTTATTCTAGATAATAGCTCTATCCAATGATAGGAACAGTCACTCCGTTGTAGTTAAAGCACTTCAAGCTCATACTCTAAGTACACATTTATTCTGTTCATCACACAGACACGAGAAGCGTGAATAAGTCAGCATTTGCTCTTTCTGGCTATCCGTTTTAACGCTTTTGGGTTTTAACGCCTTTGGGTATCAGCCATTGCTTCTCTTTCATTCCCTTCTGTTCATACATAGACAATAATCTAAAGTACTAAAAAAAAGACTATCCCTTGAAGCCCGTTGGCGGTGTACATGCACCCTGTGGACCCCATGAACTTGCATTTCCCCTTGCGTATTCTGGTCACTTTCGTTCTCTCACACTTTCAACGTGCTGCAGCAGCCGATGGACTGAACAGCTGCCTCCGCCTGCCGCACTGGCTAGGCATTAAAAAAGGAACAGCCACTGTCTGCTAGGAGTGCATGCTTACCACTCTGTCTGTCTGCTTGTGGTCCTGCAGCTACTGCTGCTGTTGTTTCTATAGCTGCTGCTACTACTGATGCTGCTGCTACTGTTGCAGCTACTGCTGCTAATCCCACACGTGATGCTGCCAGTGCTGCTGCTGCTGTTACTGCTGGTGCAGCTGCTGTTTCTTGCGTTGCAGTTCGCCAAAGGCAGCATCTTCAAGCTCCTGCATTGTCATGCTGGCGGCGGCTTTGGCGCCTCCTACCCACTCCCATCCCTTATCTCTTTCTGCTTCTGCTTGTTGCTGCTGCACCTCCTGCAGACCCCTGCTGCTGCAGCTCTTCACATATTCCAATATACACGCAGCAGCACCGCTAATTGGCTGCCTCGATGCTGCTGCCACCCCCAAGCCAAAGGCTGCTGCAGCACTGTTCGCCTCTGCAACACTCAAAGACATTCTGCTGCTGCTATTGCTACTGTATGAGCTATTGCTGCTGCTGGGGCTGCCGCTGCTGCCATTGACTGTCTGCTGTTCAACCGGCGAAGGTGCGGCAGTTGGCTCGTGTGGTGATGTAGCAGCAGCAGCTGCTGATGCTACGGCAGAAGCGAATGCGCCAGCTGCCTCTTCGGTCTCCGCAGCCAATTCTGCAGCCTCCTTCATGTCATCATCTACTTCCCCCTGCTGCTGCTCCGATACAGCAGCAGCAGCCCTAACTCTAAGAAGCAGCTGTTCAAATCCTTTAACCTTGTTTGCCAGTTTTACAGAGGACACCTTGTCGTTATTATTGCTGTTCTTGCGATGTCTCTGCAGCATTAATGCCGCCTCTATAGCCCTCTCTCGAGAGGAGAAGGAGATGCATGCAATTCCTTTCTTCCTGGAGAAGAGACATAAATCAACAGCCCCATGTTTCCATAGTTGTGAGCATAAAGAAGCTGGAGTAGGGCCATCAGCAGCAGCTGCTGCTGCAACACCAATTGTGTGTGCTGCTGTCGGAGCTGCCTCTGCTTCTGCAGAAGCTCCTTCTGCACAGGTCTGGTGCTCCTCCTTGTATCCGTTTGCTGCTGCTGCTGCTGCTTCCGTCTTCTGGGTTGTGGCAGCACCGCTCCAGTGCAGCACTACGGACCTGGGTAAGATGTCCTCAAGGGTCTCCTCCGTCTCCGTCTCAGCGCTGCTGGATGCATCAGTTGCATGCGTTGCATCCACATATGGGGCTTTCTGCGTCTGCTGCTGCTGCAGAAGCTGGGCCGAATGTTCCCGGAAGATCTCATGTCTGCGCCTTTGTCTCAGTTCTGTTTGCTCCTTGATGAAGGCAGCATTTTGTTCCCTAATCCTCTGCAGCTCGGCCTCCGCAGGGTCTGTTTTTGGTGTCTTATGACGTTCTTCTGCTTCTCTTCTGTCTAATTCTGCCTTATACTTTTGCTTCTCCTTGTCCCTCTCGGTCAAGCGCTGCTGCTGCTCCTGCCGCCGCTCCCGCAGAGCCAGCAGTGTTCGGAGGTGCTTGTGGTAGGCCGAGCGCTGCTCAGCATTCGAGAGAAAAGCAAAGGCTAAGTTCACTACTAAGAAAGCAGCAGCAGCCTCCGTTTCTCTCCCCTTATTTTTGTCGGGGTGTGCTTTCAGAGCAGCACGTCTGTATGCTGTACCGATGGCCTTGGAGGTCAGCGCCTCCCGTGCTGCAACAGAAGCTTCATCTGCAGCTGCTTCCTGCACACTCAGCGGCTGCCCTTCTTCAGAGCACAGTCCTAACACGGTGTATGGGCATTTTCCCTTCAGGCCCGCAGGCAGCTGGCCTCGAGAAGCGTCCATTTTCTACCACTTTAGTCCGCCAGCTGCTGCTGTTATTGCTGCTGCATCAACTCCATGTCTAGCAGCAGAAGTCAACGAACACCAACCAACTCGGCGCAGCGCCGGGCTAGGGTGCCCTTAAACTAAAACTTGGAAATCAGCAGAGCTAAAGAAGATGAGGAAAATGATGACTTCTACATGCTAAATCTAGCAATCAATGGAAACTTCTTAATGCCCGCTCTCTCTGCTCGCCCTCAACTCCGCCGAGCTGCCGTTCAAGAACGGGGGCTGGGGCCGTCGCGGGAAAGCCCCAGAAACGATCTTTGGTGTGTTTCAAGAAACTACTAAATCAAACGTTCAATTAATGATACAATTTAAGAAAAATAGAAAAGTAGTTGTGATCTAAACCCGCACTGGGAGGCAACGTCGCCTCATCCAGCACCCAGAGCATGCAAGTATACTGCCGGCTGTCTAGTGAAGAAGTACTCCTCGGAAACTTTCGAAAAGAAGTACATAATTTTGCCTAATAAGTAACTTTAATTTATTTTACTCTTTCAGACTTCAAATCGCCGCAGCTACTAATAACACTAAGCCGCACTAACACCCAAAGTGACGCCGCGTCGGCACCGACCATTAGGACGTAGTCTGCGCTGAATGCAACTCGACTTCACCCTTCGAAGGGGAAGCCAACTGCTAAACCCTTCCCTCACACAAGACAAGACTCAACCCTGCTACTGAAGTTTCGTTGACCCCATAAGGCAACCTCCACCCACCACCCCACTCTCCCACTGCAGACTGCAGATTAGGGGGAGTTACATGCAAGCACAAAAGAGGAACTCGCAGCGGGTGTTCCAATGACAGACAGAATACAGAGCTGAGCCACATTCAAGGCTCTGCTGTCTTCCGGTCCGGTACTTCTGTGCAGCACACCAGCTACTGTTTAAGGATACAGTGTATACATATACTGCGTATAGACGCCGTGCGTACACCGCAAAGGTACAATTGAAAACTGGGTAGCAACCACAGTTGGGATGGACTTCCTGTGCTGTGGTATGCACTGTACGTACTGTCTCTACGCCTGTGCCCACAGAAACTGAACCAAACCGGGCAACCATCTCCCGAAGCAACAATTACTTCCTTCTACCTCAGAAATGACAGTGATTAACGATTTCAAAAGTACAATACACTCCTGTAGCTTGTAGTAATTCTACGAAGATGACGCATCGATGCAGTGCATGCATCAACTTTACCTGCGCAGTGGGCAGCAGGTATACTGGCAGTCGCAGCACTCCGATGGGTCAAACACTGCACTAAGGCATGTGTTGCCCGGTGCCCCTAAAGCCCCAAATAATGATAAATATGATACCCACATACCAATAGGAAGCCCTCCATCCCAAACTGGTAACCCTAAGTTCAGAAAGCCTCATTCATCAGCCCCTCCAGCAGTGGGTCTCCGTCGTCCGCGTCCATGCCGTTATCCGGAGGTGGTGGAGGAGGTGCACTACCTGCAGCAGCAGCAGCAGCAGGGTCTGTCACTGTGCCTGGGGGTGGTGGCGGTGCCGGCCCGCTGCTGTACACTTCGACATGCCCTGCGAGTCGCTGCTGCTCATACTGTTGAATCTCGCGCTGCTGCCGCTCCCATTCATCTGCTGCGCGGGGAGGAGACGGCATTCGGACACGGGGGTCGTTGCCGAGGGCCTGCGCTGCTCGCTGCGCCAAGGCAAAGCTCTTTGAGGCCTCTGGTGTCACTACAGGGTTGGAGGCAGTAACAAACGATACAGGCGCGTCGTAGTTAGGAGTGTACCCGCTCTGGTGTTGTCCCATAGGGCCCAGGGGGCCCTGTGCAGCCGCCGCCTGCGCACCAACAGCAATTCGCAGTGAAGCGCACCTAACCCAAGATTAAACGCTGGACACTTAGACCTCGGATCCACAAACCCTCGTCCTCAACCACACCCCCACAACACAAAATTCAATCGCACGCACGCAGGTTGCACGACAAGCAAATGCTTTGAACGCCCCACGACTAAAAGTGAGGGCAAGTGAGGCTGCAGCAGCAGCCAGATGAATCATTAAAAAGGCGCAATGAGCTGTCAAGGCGCAAGGCGTAAGAGAAACGGGGGCGACCGAGCCGACCAGACGAAGGATACAAATAGAAATAACACGGAAAGCCAAGCACAACAAAGCCAATCCCCACACCAAGCATACCATGGGCAAGCAAAGCAGAAACAACAAGAGCCCACAAGACAAGAAAACACCCGTAAAGTTGGCACCACCGTAGCCGTCCATAGAAACACTACTGGAGAGGAGAGGAGCGATTGACAAGCTGAGCAAGCAGAAGACAGGAAGTGCCAGTTCCCGAAGCTCTCTCCTCTCTACTTGTGCGTGTATGCGTCGCTTTTACATTACCTGTTTCATGCTTTCTAGTCGTTTAACAGCAGCATCGGTGGCGCCTCCTCCCACTTTGTTGGTGACCGAGAGGACTCCCTCCAGGACAGCGCCGACGATGTTGGAGTCGAGCTGTGCATTTTGCTGCTGTGTTTCTTGCTGCTGTTCCAGGTAATCGTACTGGAGCTCCAGCATGAGCACCAGGCTAGGATCTGTTTGTGCGATGGTGCTAATGGCTACTACGGCCTGGTGTACGCCCTGTGCCATGCCGTGAATGGCAATCACCCGCTCGGGGCACGGGTTGGAGTTCCTGTCAACTGTTATACGCGTTAGGGTTGCCTCCCTTATCTCACGCACGCGCACGCCACCAGGGCCGATGACTGTAGGACAGACGCTGGTAGGCACAACCAGCTTTGCATACATCTGATCGTACGGCAAGTTGGGGTGTACCTCCTTGCACCGCTCCAGCAGCGAAATCACGCCTGTGCTGATGGCTTCCGTGGAGCCCGACATCAGCAGCAAACGGTCTTGCGAGTCGGGGAACTTATTCTTGGAAGATAATACGTGCATGCTGCAACCGCATTCCTCCGAAACCTTGGTGATGGTGGCGCTATCTTTGCCAATCAGCGAATTCGCAAGTGCAGGGTCGATCAACAGCTTCATGTGGAATGGCCCAGGGAGCGAAACCGGCCGTTCATCTTCGAGAGGCTCCTCCTTGAGGGCTTCCATGTTCATGCCCTCCTGCAAGACGCCTGTTTCCGCCCAGGATGGCATTTTAAGTTTGTATCCGTGGCCGTAGCTCTGGTGTACCGACAGCGACTGGTTTGGGTCGGCATGTATGTACGGCAGCATCGCCTTAATGGCAATTGTAACCTGCTCCAAGGGTCCCAAGACAGAGATGATGCGCTCGTGAGGGTTGGAAGGCACCAACTGCCCAGGGTGGTGCGAAGGGGTTTGTTGATCTCTGTTGCTGATCTGAATTCGCGTGCCCGTGAAGCTGGCGAGCTGGCGAATCCGCTGCCCGCCGGGGCCGCAAATGAGCGCACAACAGGTGCTCATTGCGCTCATTCTCCAGACCATGAAATTAGCGTGACCCACCATCAGACAGGCGGCGTAAACCTTCTCCAGCACAGCCAGCAGCGCTCGATCGGTGTCTTGCGGCTGCCCGCTGATGACAACGATCCTCTCCGTGCACGGAGGTGGCTCGGGAGGCGCCACCTTCACCTGCACTGCATACTCCGCCTCGAACTGGCTAATAATGCTTCCGTTCGAGCCCAGCAGCTGCGCAGCCACCAGGTCGCTTACCAGGATCTTGTGGTAGGCGGGGCCCTGCATCAACACCGGCCGTGAATCTCGCATATACTGCAAGTTGCTAATGCGAGCGAGCTCGTCCTGCGCCTGACTGATGAGAGCGGCCTTGGCAGAGTCTGATAGATTAGGCACGTTAGGCGCAACGCTGGCAATGCCCGCCTTCACCGGTTCCTCCTTTGGAGGAATAAGAATGCTGGCAAGTGCCTGCATGGTTGACTCATCTAGATCCTGACCCAAGAGGTCTTCGAGCCGCTCCTCCTTCTTCTCGGGCTCCTCCTTGGGCATGCAGCTGTCGTATTTGAGGTTTGTGTGATCCCGCAGGTTTTCTATCTTCTGCAGAAGACTCGTCAGCTCGCAGGCTGCTGCCTGCACGTCCTCAAGGCCGCCCTGCAGTGTCAGCAGCCGCTCCCGGCCTCCCTGCTTCTTCATGTCTCTTCTGTCGCTGATGTGCAAACGCGCATTGCAGAGTTTACGCAGCTTGCGCAGCGGTTGGTCGCTGTTTTCGGGGTTAAGTTGGCAGATAGCATGAGGGGCGATGAAGGTGATGCTGCTGCTCCGCCCGCTGTCGCGGTGTCTCCCCGGCTCCGAGATCGTCTGCAGCGCCTGTCGCAACATCTTGTGCAGCGCCTCGAGGGGCCCCTGTAGCAGCAGCATGCGGCGGTTGGTTTCAGGAAAGAAGATGTCTTTAGGGGAGAGCCGACTCTTGCAGCCGTGGCTCTTCGCCAAATTCAATAAACCTCGATTGTCTACACCCAACAGAATCGACACGTCCCGCTGCTGAGGCAGCAGCTTCACGTAACACGGCCCCTCCAGATCTGGAGGCAGCGGGTCGCCCAATGTGTTCTTCGTCGGGTCAGTTGTGTTTACCACTGCAGGAGGCTGGTAGGAGGGGCTGCGCTCTCTCTTCCTCTTCTTCTCTTTGCTGCCACTACGGCTGCGACTGCTCCTCCCGCGTTTCCCGTCCTCATGACTCTTGGAAGCCTTCGCGTGTTTGCTGCTACTGCTGCTGCTGCTGCTACTGCTGCTGCTGCTGCTACTGCTGTTCTTGCTGTCCTTCGAAGCATTCTGCGGCTTGGAATCTGCACGGACGGACTCCGCCTCCGTCTTTGTCCTACTGCTCGAGTGCTTGCGTTCCTCCTTGCCCCTGCTCCTGTGTCCGCTGCTACTGCTGCTGCTGCTGCTGTTGCTGCTGCTGCTGCTGCTGCTGTGGCTGTTGCTCTTATGTTTGCTGGAGCTGCTGTCGCGCTCCGCGTTACCGGCCTTGCTGCTGCTGGTGGTAGATCGGCCACCTGAGCTGCTGCTGCTGTGGCCACTTGATTTGTGCTTTTTTGAACTGCTGCTGCTGCTGCTGCTGTTGCTTGCATGCTTGTCTTTTCCATGGGTGCCGCTTGAGCGGTCCCCAGACGACATCTCTCCGGATCCCATTGCAGCAGCAATTTATTCAACCCCGTCTCTAATGAAAAAGGATGCTAGATGCTGCGCCACAAGTCTGTGGCGTCGGGAACAAAAATGTACGGCGTTCCGGTGTCTAGACAACTGCTTAGGAAGCACCCGAATCGTATCCTTGTGCTACCCGCTAGTCTCTCCTCTCCAGAAGTACATGAGCTCGCTGCAACTCTCGCTTTCTAAAAAGCTTTCCCATGATGTTTCGCGCATCAAACGAGCCCTAGGCCACGGGGCCTGCTGCAGCGGGTCTTCTTCATCCGCTTCTCGCGCTCTTCTCTGTTTTTCCTCGTTGCCGCTACAAACAGACGCCGCTGCACCGGATCACAAAAGAAAGGGTGCGAAAGATGCAGGGACGAAAACCCAGTGAAAATTTACAGATGGGGGTACACGAGCACGCGACCCTCGCTGGGTGCTCGTGGGGGTGTGAGTACTCTATACGTTCACTGGTAGGTAGGCTTATAAGAGCTCAAAAAAGCGAAGACCAGCTACTAGAGTTCATCTCAGACAAACATGAAATGCCAAAAGATCATTTTATTGTAGGAAACAGGCAAAGCACCGAAATTTGAGCAACTGCTGCCTCTAGGCTTTCGGCGTCCTTGCGCTTCCGCCGCCTGATGCATGCCGACGTTTACCGAGCCCCGAACTCGCTCGTCGGTATAGGCTTTGAACCCTAGCAATATAGTTTATTCATAATCTACAGGAAGCGTAATGAAACTATTGAGTATATCACAAGCATGTCTGCCACCCTGTCGGTTCCCCGATTTCGCGTGCGCAGCGCCGCTGGCGGGCACGCAGTGTTCATTTACGTTTTTCCAACAACGACGCTTTGCCAGCCTCTAGCATCTTCGCCCATTATATATTATTGCAAGAGGAAAATAACAGCATGTAGGTAAGAACTATCAAGTGCTGTTCTTCTATCCCTTATGGCTGCGCACGCGCTTCTGCTACCGCATTGCACAATGTAGACGCGCTATCTGCAGCATAGCCTGTACAACGTTGGCAGGTGTTTCTGAAATGGCCACATGAACCCTTCCCAGGGCCAAATAGACAAATTGCATGCAAGCTAAAGCTCTCAACAACTATCTTCAGCGTGCATGCGCACAACGAAGAAGTCCTGCTAGTGTTTACATGTGGGGCTCTCTGGCACCTTGAGGTGCCGTAAGGTACGTTACAACTCGTAACAGGGCGGCTCTCTCTCCTGCAGCTCCCGGCGCTCGAGCGGCTGAACGCAGGGTGCCTGGAGACTAGGGAGGGGGCTCATGCTCTTTGAATTAACCTTCAGGGTGGATCTTGTTCGAGGACCATTATGACTCGCTAGAACCAACAGACGTAAGACACTCGGTAGTGCCGCATGGTTCACGCGGCGCAGATGATACAATTAAACATCACCCCACCGCAGGAGGGACCAATATACAGCTTCAGCTAGTGCCGAAGGTGCCTCAACACAAATCTCTGACCACGGAGAGCTTTCTTGTAGAAATACCACAATAGTTAATCAACTCTCATACAATTACTTGCTTTGTCTCCTGTTGGTGTGGGGAGCTAACAACCATTGGGAGCCTCAGCGAGCGGAGGCAGCTGCGATTTGTGCATCCAATCCAATGGAAGACCGTTTTACAGAAAAGCAAATTCATGAAGAAGGCCTTTCACTTCGCCGGCCAACAAGATGTGGCCGTCGCTACGATGCGGGGCTAGTAGATGGACATCTTCCGGCTCTAGAGCTTTATTTTCTTCTCCAACAGACATCGGAAGCCCTGCAGTTGATACTCGCATCTCCATTAGATTAGGTGGCAGGGCTTTGGTTTTCTAGAGCAGCTTGCCAGCAGGCGGCTCGCTGCAGCCAGGCATACTGCCACTCCTGGCAGGCCGCCGTCTCTCCCGGAGCTCCAGACGATTGAACGGCTCGGCTCAGGATGCATAGAAACTGGTATGAGGCGTATTTACTACTCACGTTCACCCTAGGTATTTTAGCCCCCGAAAAGCTCACACTAGTCCTCGGCGGAGATACAGGACCCAGCCCCATACAAAACAACTGTCCACTACTTACAACGCTTTGAGGAGGTATAGTAGAAATTCCCCGTACGCTTGGAAGAGCTATGGTTATACACAGCGAGGTAGGGACTTCTCTATACAAACCGACCATAAATATCTTTAGTACCTGACGAAGTGTTTACAAAACTACAACAATGCAAGAGTTTCATGGTACGTTTTGCGTCACCTGCAGCACCACATCACGGTGACGTGTATCAATGCCGTCACCAAAGGTGTCGCTGACGTGCTCAGATGCCATACCGGTTGGAGACTGTGGTCTGAACCTGCTCTTGTGCGATGGCTCCCCTTTCCCCTCAAAGATGCGTTCATCTTACTCCTTAGATACTCTTGCAGTTGCAAAGCTCACCAATGGCCGGCCGGTGAAGAGCTACAGCATCAACAGCGATCTCCCATGGCGCGCGGGTTCACCCGACTATACAATCAAAGGAGCTCTACCCACAATGCCCGATCATCCTTTGGAAGGTCATGCAGGGTTTAATACGATTGCTTAGCGAGTGCCCAGTCTCTCTTAGTTTCCCCCAGCGAAGAAATATTTGCTTTGGAAAGCACCAAAACGGGTAGGGACAAGAAGTTTGTTAGCGCCCGCAGGCATAAATTGATGAAGCGGCTTACTGACCATAACGTAAAAACGAGAATACTACGTTGCACGGCGTAGAGAGCGGATCAACATGATTCCCGTACATTGGACATTCGGCTCGATTGTGGGTCAGACGCATTTAAGTAGCCTACAGCCTTGCCTTGCCACCCACCTACGAAGGACACAACGTCTTCCACGTGCCTCAGCTGGTTCCCCACCACCCCCAAGAGGAGGCCCAGGTACCACAGGAAGCACATGTGGGCTGGCCACCTCTCTGTAATGACGCCACCAACCCAACTGACCAATTGCTTGTGGATTAAGTCCTCGATCAAAAGGGGGCGGTAGCCTCCGCACGTTACCTTGTTAAATGGCGAGGCGCCTCCTGTAGTGGTCTACATGGGAACTGGCCCATCACTTTGGAGGCTGTCCAGCATTAGCTGGACAGCCTCCAAAGTGATGGGCCGCAAGCACAAGCTTGGAAGCGGCGCAGACAAACGAGACCGGCTCCGCTCGTCTGCTTCTGACCCTCCCTCCTGCTCTTAATTCCCTTTTGTTGTCGTAGCCTCCATACCCTCCTTACTCTTGTGCCGCGTTGTTCCAGGAGGGAGCTGTCGCCTTCCCGTGTGTTGCCGTGTAGGTGTTGCAGACTCCTTGATGTGCCAAGGGGGATGGAGAGGTTGCTTGCGCACCGTGTAGGTGCTCTCCGTGCTTTTCCTTAGCATAAGCGCACTCCAGCCAATTACATAGTAGCCAGTGTTTCTAGAGACTAGCAGTAGACGAGTACACGCTGACCCGTGTTTCTAGGGTTTTGCAGGGTAAAAAGTTACAGTTATCAGAGTTTCCATGGGCATGCAGTACACGAATAGTAAGTGAATAATAGTAAACTAAGGTAGTTTCACTAGGGCAGCGATGGTAGTCGTATAGTTATTAGTAGTAGTAGCATTAGTGATAAGGTCACAAGTAGTGACTACAGCGAGTACACGAGGCTAGTAATAGTAGTTAGGTTGTTGTAGTTAGGGGAAAGTTAGTACTATGGTGAGGTATGTAGCACCGATAGCTTTTCCAGTCGTTGAGTAGACGCATCAAGAGGGAATTTACGTTGGTTACATGCAGTCACGTATGTCAGAGCACTCGACTACTTAACACGTAGCATAACATAGGTGGTGGATGTAATAGGACGGGTAGCCGACTCAGTCTGGGAAGGGGGAAAGTTGTGGTGCACAGGCACTGCAACGCGTCTCAGGTGTGCACTCCAGTAGCCTAAGGTCAGGAGCGGACGAATATACCATAAGATATTTAGGATCTTATTAGTCAAGAAAGGAATTAATACTACTAAATATCCCTGGGATTAGGGAATCGTTAGGCAGACATAGCTTAATGAACTAGCCGACCGCGCCAGGCTGAGCGAAACAGTACTTAGACCCTACGAAGACTCCCTAGTTTGATGTCTATAGACTTAATAAGTGGAAAAGAAATTAGTATTATTAAAAATAGCTTGTGATAAGCACTACTTTATAGAGAAGCTACTTAGTAAGCGGACTATAAGGGGGGGCCTGCCAGCGGCTCCGGCTGAACCTACGGCGCTCCGCATAGGCACGATTTTGGGGCTTGCTGGGCGTCTCGCTTAGGCGATGGCTTGCCATCGCCCCGCATCTTGAAGGCGAGGTCTCGGATCGGCCCTCTGGAAGACCAGACCTATCTGTCCAGAGGGACTAGCCTGGATATAACCAGACACGAGATCATGTTTTGGAAATTTAATAGTGAATATAGGGAACCAGAGTGAACAGACTGTGACGATTAGCCACCTGTAGTCGTGGGATGTCATAGGCAGGCACAGCGTGGGGATCGCTGCACACGACAGTTTGCCCGCGGATATTGGCACAATCACAATCTGTCTTTTGTTGCCTGGCTTTTTAATTGTGCTGCGGCTGATTCTTATTATACATTCCACTATAGAGAAGAGGTCACTGGATTGGAACAGCCCCCAAATGTAGTGCGCAAACGTCCCAAGCTGTGCCTACTTATCATCTCGTCCTGCCAGGCTTCCAAAGTATTACCTCTGACTACCCGAATCCTCAGAAGTCTATGCTGCAAGTACCAATTCATTTTAGATCCACATTTATTAACAAAATAAATGAGTTCATAGAATAAAGGAACTGTGTTCCGAATTGACCCCGGACATGGCTGGGTGTTAGCGCCCAACCTGGGGGGGATCAACGGCGACGACACGGAGAGGGGCCTGGCCTCCATCCACCCGTATCTATAGACGTAATACTCCTATATAGTAATAATTATATTTCTTTTTCAATTAGGTCTGTAAAGGGGCCTACGTGGTACCCAAGCAGTGGCTAGGTATTACGCTACACTGCCTATATAGTGGCAGCCGGCGGGGTAATCCTACAAACCTATGGCTCCATCTACTGTACTCGGTCCATAGAATATTTAGCAGCATTAATTCCCTTTCTTAGTTGCTAATGTCATAATCATTCTCTTGTTGGACAATGAGCTATTAAATATAACACCAGAGCCACATTGTGGTGCCTGTGCACTACAGCAGACGTCTCCCTGCACTCAGCAACTCCCCAGATTAGACAATCGAAGCCGTGTGTAGGCCCATATCTCGGAAGAGTTCAAGACAGGCGTCGAGAATAACAAGCCCTCAAAATGTATGGCGAGACCGTCGCCACCGCTTGCCCCAAGGTGTGTCGTCCTGCGCAAGCTTCACCGCAGATGGTCATAACAGCACAGCTTGTAGCCTCAAAACCGCTATCATTTTATATTCCATGTGGCTAGCTTTGTGAGCTTTCTGCTTTTACAGGCACCTCTGAGCGCGCAGAAATGCCGTGCCCACATGGCCCTAGCTGGGGCCTTTCTGATTCATCTAACGCTCGGTAAGCACACCGGTTTTCCGTCATTTGTGCCCATCAGCAGTTGGTGTTTGGCGTTTTATTGGGGTGCAGAGGCAACTGCAGCCTGAAGCTGTTTCTATACACTTTGACGTTTCGGGACCAAGCAGCAGCAACTACTTACTTGCGCAGTAGGGTCGTGAATGCGCAGGGCTGGAGAGGGCACTGTTTGAGTTGTTGTTGTTGGGAGGTGCTTCAGGTAGTCTACACGCCTTCGGAAACATCGCTCCTCTGATTATTGCCTACATGCGTCAATTACAGCCGACTGCGTCCCTCCGCTATCACGTAAAGCTTCCTTCCGACCGTATTCCGTATTGAGACTGCAGGACTTGCGCTCTGTGTTCTTGTGCTGTGTCATGAGGTGCATTCGAAAGGTTCATAGTGATTTAGTCACTTTGCCATGAACAGTGTGGATGGCAGCAGCTCCTCCAGTCTTAGACGCCCTCGTCGCAATCTGCAAACCTTATGCTTTTTTTAGGATGGGCTGATCCTCTACGTTTCGGCCGTTCTGGTGCAAGGCATAGCCGGGTTCTTTGGTGGAAGGCTTCACAGGGCCCTGGGCCCTTCTAAGTGCGCTCTGTGCATCATCGACTTGCAGCATCGACTTATTAGGTTGCATGTAGTGTGTGGTGCCGGCCGACAGCCGCTTTCACAAAGACGGCTGTTGGACATGTCGCTTCCATTCAGTTGAGATAGTCTAACCCATTTCTTCAGCTTATTAGGGCACCCATTGCTGTTTTTTCGCACCTCCTGGGCCTGGGCAGTGAACCGGACATCTCGCCGCAGGTTGTGTGAATAACTCTACCCAAGCAAGTAGCCACCGCCTGAATTGGGTTCTAGACACTGAAACAGTGGAGTTGTTCCTCCACATGCAGTTTGCACTTATACATTGGGCCGGCGGTGATGTTGGGATGCTGCAGGGCAACTCTTCTGGGTGGATCTGTGATGAGCATTGGTCTCGTGATGTCTGCCCTGACACTGCATAGTTGTTTCCTCTTCTGGTGAGCCATTCGACAAGTCGTTGCATGATAGTTTGCTGACGTTGCCCATGAGGGAAGCCTAGCACATCACTACAAATATGGAATCCCAAGAGGTATTGCTGTTGTTGAGGGCTGCTGCGTTGCTCAGCCTCTCCTTCGGCGTCGTCACGGCCATAGGCAGCGGCCTCTGCTACCCGGTCCCACTGACCTGTGCCCTCGAGTGGCAGCCGGATAGGAAGGGAACAGTGAGTACTAGTTGCATTCCTTCTGCGAGAATATATGAGCACTCTGGATTCAAACAAAGAACTTCGGGATGCCCGTATAGTGTATACATAACACGGCCACCTCTATGTTTTGCTTTCTGCCACACCACAACGCATTTGTTCGGAGCAGATGGTTCTGGGCGTGTTCCAAAGGGGTAGTTTAGCGTGGACTTCGGTTGTGTGTTTGCAGGTTAGTTGCGTGATCTTCCTTGGCCGGAGTTTGTCTGTCTGCTTGCTTTGTCCAATGCATTCTTTGTTTCTCTTCCGCACCGCCCAGCACTCTTTGCTGGCATCTGTTGCACCTGTGGGAGGTGGAGAGGGCACTTTGGGTGAGAATTGAAATGACCGCGTAACTCTCTGGACGCCGTATCAATCCAAGCATTGCCTTTTCACTGCAGTTCTTTTCTGTGAAGTCACGTGTGCTTCTTTGGAGATGAAATGTGTTCGTGTTACTACCCGCAGCAGCTCCGGAGGTCTATGTGTCTGACACGGAAGTTCTACAGCGACTTCCTGCGCTTTTCTTGTTGATGGCTGGGGGATGCCTGGTGCTGCAGGTATGCAGCATTGCCGCGCCATGGGTGTCTAGAGAGGAAAGTGGTAGACAGTCGTTATTCTGTTGCGTTTGCGGAAAACAGTCGTGCAGTCTTGTGTGCAGTCTTGTGCTATGTTCCATGCTTGGGAGTTGCTGCTACTACGCTTACTACCACGCTCCAACGGAGCAGCGGGGTCGGCTTCCTCTGCTGCAAGTGCAACAGACCGGATATCGAGGTTTTTTCTTTGCTGATTCCGATTTTCTTGAGGCAGGCAGTGGGAGCGGCACTCCTGTCCGACCCTCCTCCCCTACCGATGGACTCTCACGAACGACGGAAACTGATTGAAGAAATCCGCTGTGGGTTTCCCTTCCATTTTGCTGTGTCGTGCACATGGCGCTTTCCTCTATTCACATTCATGGGCTGTGCATTCGTCCCGTGTTAGCGACCGGAAACTTGTTTTGGCTGCAAACGATCTAATTGCATCGTTATCTTCATATAGTTATCTTCGCTGAACAGACGAACTTCTGCCTTAGCTAATGGTTGATAGCCAGGGGACCACGGGGTCTCTGAAGGTGTGACTTTTTCTGAATTATAAACAGTAGGAACTCCAGGATGGTTTTTGGTTGTTCTTGTTCATCTGGTTTCTCTCAGCTCCGTCGCCGTCGACAGCAGCTTCCCTGCTCTCCTCCTTCGTGCTGACGCCACAGGATCTCTGCAGCTCTCCGTCGTTTTGGTTGTTGTTTATGATGCTCTTCTTTTCATGGCAGTCTGTGCTAGTGGCTGCTTACATGTGGAAGATAGTCCCCTTTGCATTTATGCACAAGGTGCCACCCAACACGTACCTGGATACAGCGGAGCGCAGCCTGTTACCGGCGGCCTCCTTCGCGGACGGCGTCCGAAGTTGGCAGGCGATAACAGATTTGCAGCTAAGTACAATCGGCGCAGTGGCGGGGGCATTGTGCGTTGCTGGGCGGTTGGTCTGGGGTTATATTGGCAACAAGGCTGGTAATAAGCGAGCCATAGTAAGCACGATATGCTCACCTGGGGCCTGTTCGCAGTTACAATCTAGAGGGGCAAGAGGGGCAAGAGGTGCTGTGCTCTTTCCGTAGCTACGTACAATCAATTCTAGCAAGCCCAATATGTGTTTTCTTCTTCAGGTTATAATGAATCTCTGCATGGCAGCCCTTCTGATGACGTTCATGAACAGCAGTATGGCATCACCAAGGAACTTCGCCGTCTGGTAAGCCCAGTAGTCCGTCCATAAACTCTCAACAAACTTCTTTGTACAGTTTTTGTAAGTGCCCATTCGGGGAGAATGCGCCCTCTATGCACGCATGCTCTTTTTTTGCGCAGGCTTGCGTTGCTCAACGCTTGTCACGGGGGTCTGTTTTCTTTGCTGCCGTCCTTGACTTCGGATTTATTTGGACACAAGAACTTTGGTCCCGTATTTTCGCTCCTGTTTGCTGCAAGACTTTGCGCAGCTGCATGCATTTGTGCACTGACGAAGGTGCTGCTCCAACAACAAGCCAAATCACATGAAGCCTAGAACGATAAACCGTGTACCCGGCTATGCTGTTCCTCCTCCGCGAAACACTATAATTATGCCAGCCGAGCTACGCACAATTGCCGTCGCTGACCATGGTGTTTGAAATCCCGATGGAGTTTTGTCTGGATGCTGTTTGGCGGTAAAGCCGCATTTTATTGTCGCCGCGCATATTAGCGAGAGAAATGATCTCTACTGAAAGCCGATTGTCTGCTGATACTGTGGCCGTTGCAGGTGGTTCTCGAGCTGGCAGATGGTGTGACGCTGTGCATGACTTTGGCTGGATGCCACGTGCTGTGGTGAGCCAGCAACTTTTACAGTGCAAACTCGTCAGCGGCCTATTCCCTAGGGATTTTTGATTGCATAGAGTTAAATGGGTGTAGGTTGACAGCTTCAATGTTCCCTCATGGTTGCTTCTGGTGCGGTTCGCAGCGCCGGCCTGGCCCTCGCCTTTCACCCGACCGAAGCGCTGCCAACCCCATACAAGCTGGTGATGCCCTGATTGGTGGACTAGCGCGCTGCGTAGTACGAGCCGCGAAACTACTCACGAAGGAAACGCTACATGAGTCACTGTAGCATCCCTTGCTGACGATGCTAGCACAGAGGCACGCACGTAAGCATGTTCGCGTGTTTATGGCGCGCAAAGCTGGCCGTTAACGTGATCCTAAGCCAAAAAGCATTGCTTCACTGCTTGAACTCGGCCTGGGTCCAGCCTGGGGAAAGCTTTCCCCAGGTCATCCATTTTTCTGCGTTGCGAAGGTTTCCACGCATCTCATCGGTTTAAATGCAAAATGTACCTGTACTTGATGTACTCGGCACTCTCCACTACGAAGCAGAATAGCACAGAGCTCATCCAGCGATACGCAGCGATACCCCGTAAATCACAGTACACAGGGACCCCATGGCGACCACCGAACGGACGAAGGGGGCATATCCGGTTTCGCCCCCTCGGAGTTGCCGATGAGCTGTCAGTGTGTAATGGGACTAGCACACAACGGAATTTGGTGTTGAATACGAACGTCCATTCGAATTAAAGCACAGGGTAGGAGTTGCTAACAGACAATCCGGACGAGCTGCAGCAACTCAGCCAGCAGCATCACGTTGCAGCTGGCTAAGCATCAGACGTGGAGATCAGCAGAACAAAAATAATACCGTAGCTGGCGGGTTTTGGCAAGCGTAAGAGGAAGCGAGTGGCTTCAACCGTGCCGCTGATTACTGCGGTGAATCTGGATTCAAATGGTCCACTGGCTGATTGTATCAGCATCACGCACTTTTAGGCACGTGACGTTTGAAGTAAAACACTGATTACTCCAGTGCATACAGCGTGTGTACAACAACGTTTTCTCGGTTGTCGCATTGCTGCTGAGGCTTTGCTGCATGTCTCCGTCCATGGTATATCTATGAGTAATCTCCGAGTCTGGGTCCACGCTCTCTGCTGCTCTTGCATGGAACGAAGATGGATGACATCACAGATAACATGTTTGTGTTTTCTTTCGTGTGATAATCGACCAGCATACGATAAACGAACCAGTGCTGCCTCGTGGAGGACCTGCTTGCTTTTTTCATCTACTGGTTGGATAGGGACACTGCAGCATCTTTTGTAGCACACTGTATCTGCAGTAGGGCAGATGTGCCATTATTTCGTTGCCAGATAACATACCGAGAAGGTTTTGATATATTTGTGAGCTTCAGATGCCGCTTGCTTTACCACTCATGCCGGGTGGCTTGTTGAGCGAGTCTTTGGTTGGTACCATACGAGCACATCAGCTTCTTGGAGTTGGGTATGTTATTTGCAAAAGTTTTTGAATGAGTTCATCTTTCATCCCTTAAGTTCACTGCAGCTTCAGCAGCACCCCAGCTGTATGGCTGAAGAACGCTTTCAAGTGGGTCACCTACAGATCGACATATCTGCTATACTTCTGTGTGTCTGTGTGTCCCATGCGCCCCCCTATGTTCCAATGACCTATGTGTTTGTAAAAGGGGAACAGAAAATTACGGTTTTTGCTCACTTACTGCCGTCGAAGGAAGAGCGCACCACAAGCGGCACAGGTTGAAAATAACGCTGAGGTCACTAAGACGCTGGCTATGCCGAGAAAACACAGCTATGTTCAATAGGCCTTCTTCACTTATCTAGGCACTTGTAATACATTAAGCCTACATTTTAAAACAACGGCCTTTTCATGAGAAACATGGACTGTTGCATTTGTGACTGCTTATTTGTCGAACGGACAGACCATCGGTTCACGCAGCCGCACTCTACTGCAAGTTTTGCTTCGGCAGTCCTACTTATTAAAAGCCATATCAAGACACTGCTTAAATTCAGATGCTCTGAAGTGAGGATAAAATAAGGTACTAGGGAGGGCAGTGAGCACTGGCTTGCTTGTCGGCAGCGGTCATCTGACCGACTGCAGCTGGCTGCTCGCTACCTACCGGTGAGGACGCAGTTAATGAAACGGGCATCTACACCTTTATATCCGCATGATCGCCAGTTTACTGAGGAAAGGTGAAAATTATTTTTTCAAACAGCTCTGAATTGCCTAGGTCACGATGATGAAGGTGTGCTGCGCTGGCGCCGCAGTGCTTGCTGTGACTGCAGTCACTGCGGATCTTGCTGCCCCCAAGAGAATAACCAGCAGTTTTCTCTCTCTTCAGCCGAACCAGAACAGCCGATTGACTTACAACCAACTGATTGGGGAAAATGGAAACAAGCAAACTCCAGTTTATGGGCGAGCCCATATATTTCGGCGCGATAATATCGAGGGAAACGTGGAGTCATCTGGAGACACACAAACTAAAACCGAAAACGAGTCTTATGGGTTTTCAGACTTGTACGAAACGCTTCGCGCAGACGTAAATGGTGTATCCCCTGCTTGGGCGATTTTAGACCATCTCCCAGATGAGCTCCCCGAGGCAGCCAGCAGTAGCCTTGCCGCATTCAATCAACTACATGCCTTGTCACCTCCAGGGTCAAATCAGAAGAAAAGTGACGGGGTTGAGCGGCAGACGAGTGGCGCAACGTCTGTACTGAGGGCGCTTACCCGACCCTTCGTGGCTGTCGGCTCAGCCGCCCTAAGGGCTACTCGCGAGCTGCGCAGGTATCTCAGCAGCCCGAAGTTGTCCTGCTTACTCGACGTGGAGGACAAGAAGATAGGGGGGAGCGGGTCTCCCATCGTAGCTAAGGCAGTTGGGCGCCTGGGTAGTGGGCGAGTAACTGGATTTCTACGAAAAGTAGATGAGGAATTGGAGCTGTATTTGCCCAGAAACCAAGAAGTAGGCTACGACTGTGTGGACGTCAGGCAACGAATTGTCCTCAGACGAGGGTTTCCACTAGGGTCAGGCACCTTTGGCTTTGTTGTTCCCTTCACCAGCATCCGCGGAGCGAAGTACGCGGGCAAACTGTTTCAGGTAAGGTACGGAGAACAGCGTACGATGAACACCGTGCGGAAGCAACTGAGCATTTTGAACTACTTGCCTCCGGGTATGGACGCAGCGACGGCTTCCCACACCCTGCGCCTTGGGTTGCCTCTCTGTGTCATTACAAAGCGATCCAGTCCAACTATCATGGAGCTGCCAACCCGTGGGAAACTACTGAATGCAATAGTGTTGTATCCGTTGCTCCGGGGGGACCTGTCGTACTTGACTGCTTCTCTGAAGTACACGAGGCCTGAAGATAGAGATGTGCTTCTAAATCTCACGCAGCAGGTTGTGAGGGCAGTAAGCGATGTACACAAACTCTCGTTGGTTCATTTTGACATCAAGCTGCCAAATTTTCTGGTGACCGCGAGAGGAAGCGTTCTGACAGGAGATTTGGATGGAGTGAAGCCTTTTGGATCCCCTGTACTGCCTGTGATGTTTACTGCTGCTTTTGCTGCCCCCGAGGTGGCGGGGATAGTACTAAAACAAGACAAAACGGCGGTGGCAGAACCCACAATGGACTCCTGGCCTCTCGGGATATCGATCTACGGAATTTGGTGTGGAGGGTACCCATTTTCTAACGACTTCCGCTTGTTGGGAGCTGATGAACAAATGGAAATACTGCATACAGTCCCCAGCCAAACACTCGTCTACGATGTTGAATGCATCGAGAGCATGCCCAAGGAAGTGTCCAATCTCATTACCCAGTTACTTCGGCCTGACCCTAAGGACCGTCTCACTCCCAGGCAAGCACTTGCCTCTCATCCAGCAATGATGTTGCAGGTGCCTGGGGGAGAAGATGTGCGGTCTACAGAACAAGAAGAAATGCCAAGCAAAACATCAGAAGAAGAGGCTGCGCCACTCTCAACGGCGTCAACTGCTTCTACAGAAGAAGCGGGTAGGCCCCCTAGCCTTTCGTCGAGCTATGTATTCGTTAGGCCTGATATGGTGCCCAGAGGCCAGAGCTTTCAGCAAAAGGATGCAAAAACTTCCAGCAGTAATGGTTACCGTTTCGTTGGTAGTTATGTACGGGAGCCTGAACCCGTCAAACACAACTACCAACAACAGCAGCTTCCTGGAAGCCTCTAAATAAATGCAACACCGTGGTATCAGCAAGAACAAATAACAACGGCCGTGGGACTGTTGCTCAAACTAGTAAGTAAGGTGAAGGTGCCATTGACGTAACTTGTGCCACGCCGCTGCATGAAGACAACGGCACTGGAAGAAAAGTTGACGTGTGCTTCTGCTCATCCAATCTCACGCCACCACTTCTATACTTTTTACGGCTGGAGTATTCCATAACTCTCCCCTCGAATCGTTTTAATTCAATCTGATGCAAAAGCATTGGGCCTAACGAAGCGCCATCGACTGGCGTGTCTGCCTGGCCAAACTGGCCAAACCAAATATTTAATTTTATTCGCACCTCATAAGCAGAAGGCCAGACAATGAAGTGTTAGCGGCTTCACCTTCACACACTGATGGCACGGCAAGCAAGAAGCATGCCATCTCCCTTTACCTAGAACGAAGGCAAAACGGCACAGTCAGTGGCCTCAAATATGTATCGCAATTACTGAAGTGATTCTCTCACGCATGTTTTTTTTACGCTGTCTGCAAAAGCCATACTACTCTGCGCTTTGGAGACGAGACGCTGGGTGGCCTAGAATATGTATGTTTCTGGCACTCCATGCACTTCCTCTTAAGGGCGCCTTTGCCACTGTGGGCCGAGTGACTGAACGATTGCGTAGAGTGGTTGTACTTTGTGGGGCTTGGACACACTTGGAGACCTCATGTACCAGTGCTATCTTGTAAATGACCTCAGGATTCAGGCCTTTGGCTTGGGGGTGTGTTTTTTCTGGGGGATCTTCCTCGAATTTTGCCCTGTGCTCTGGTCCACATCAAGTCATCCATACGGATCATGCCATTTGTCTCCTTCTGTGGTGCGACTTCCTCTGGGCTTTTCTTAATAAGAACTACCCAGGTTCTTGAGCTGCTTCATATTAGTTACGCTAGCCCGCCGTTGTTCTGCAATATCCCGTACAGCACAAGCCGCAGGTTTTGGCACTTCACCATTTCCCCATCCAATATGGAATTCTCCCGTTTGGCCTCATATGTGCAATACCCTCAAAAAGCCCCATTTTCTCAACGCCTCCAGACACCAAGCTGCCACCCTCAATCAGCCCAGCCGCCGTACCGGATTGTAGGTGGCCTGCTCCAACACACAAATTGTAGTTGTAGATGATGTCCTTGGACCCCTTCTATCCACTAAACTGATTCATATCATCCGTGATAAAGCACGCCTCTGTTATCATGAGTGTGGAGGCCAAAGAGCATAGTTAATGCACCTGTGTCTGTGTCTGCAGAGTACTTACTATACCGTGCCAACAGGCAAAAGTAATTGGATGTCGCTTCTTATCTCCCGTGGACGTGTCTTCAGCGTCCTCGTACTCGGACGTGTCTAGCTAGAACTGTAAACGTACCCTTACCCCAACTCGGTCAGAGTGTGCCTGTTAATATGCGAGCAAATGAAACTCGATGGATTGAAGCACTGGCAAAAGCGTGTGTCTACGGCAACATTTTTCTGGGCACATTTAGCCCCATGCGGTTTCTGGTAAACACGCAAGCGATGTACGCCTTTTAACAAACTACCATCGGAGTACCGCACGGTGTTCAAGCCCTGGTGTATCCCAGGACGGAATGCGAACGCTAAAGAACCACCACTTGCCTGTAATACGATACAGGCGCAATAGCTGCTCCAGCCAGGCCCTTCACAAGTGAGGATCCCTTTAATTCGGGACACTTCGGTCATCTCTTTCGTCAGACGTTCAGGTGGCTAACGATTCCGTCAGCGCCTGTAGGATTCGCCCAACTAGTGAATGCACAAGTAGCCCCGCGGGGTTATGACGAAAACCGTAAAGATCGAGGACAGTCGAGACCCGCACTATTGTCCCAAAACTGGGTAGAATGCCGCGTTGAAGACTGGCTGATTCCCTTTCTGTGTCCCGGCTACCTGAGCCCACAGGCGTGGTACGAGGTGCGGTCTGGAGCCCCTCTCGCCTCTTAAGGGTGAGAACACTTGAGAAACAAATAACTAGGCCACCAGATATGCAAGCCAGAACCTGGCTCCTCGCGGAGGAACACTTAGTTCGGATAGACGGTGACGCTCTACTTAGGTTGCAACAGCATCAGCAGGTACTCTCCCTACACCGGCTAACACACTCGAAGTGGTTCGTACCTCTTCCCCCTTCACGCTACTAAGGCGACGTAGTGGTAGAAGTGGTTGTCCTACATCTAATGGTAGCCTCAGATAATATAGAGGTAACGGATATAACCGGTCATAAGCTTGCGAGACACAGCGCAGACCTAAACAATGCTCTACGAGCACCACTACTGCATTGCGTTTGGTTAGGAACAGACGAGTTTGCAAGACCCCGACAGTGTGCCTCTACAATGTGCACGGGAACTAACTTGAGACCCCTCGGTGAATCCCGTACGTCTTCATTTCTTCTACACAGCCGCAGTTCCGTTGCTGTAGGAGATAACGCATGCGTACAGCTGCTGTAGTGGCGAATTAACGTGCGGAACTCTCAGAACCGCTGCAGCAAGACAGCTGTGCACAGTAATTCACTGCTGAAACGTCAAGAAGCCTGCCAATATTCATGCAGCAGACACGTTATAAGATACAACTGTTGCTAATTAGGGAACAGTGCAATTTCCTGTCTTGCGTCTATCTCAGGTCTTACTGCATAGACCACAATTCGGGTCCAAAAAGGTTGCGCTTGACAATCTCTGCAGGCCACTGTTAGTGCTGGCAGGCATACAGTGTTTTGTCTAATGACTCCACAACTCCTAACAGTACCTTTCAGGCCAATTCGTCCCAATGGTCACGGCGAGAAATCAGGAAAGTACTGTCGTGACTCTTCCTGTTAACACATGCTCCCTGCGAGTCAACACTCAGCGGGGTACCACAGCATTTACAACGCTAAATGGGACTCATATGGACCAACTACAGTGTTCAACCGGGCTTCAGCAAGTGTGATCAATTGAATCCAGGCTCTGACTATTGCTCCTTCGTTGATCAAGCTGCAACAGCGGTTATCACAGGAACTGTCCTCCGACGTAAAACACCTAGGCCTACGGTAAGTGCAACCGCTGCAATCTCCACAGGCCTCAAAAGAGTGAATGTGAAGCCACGCCTAGGCCAAGGCTCCAACAACTGTCGTACTGCCCAACACCCTCACCAGAAGGGGAGAGATTACCAATTGAACTATTTAAAAGATTTCACTTTCAACTGAACCCAAATAAAAATGCGCACGCGAATGGGGATACATGCAAGATGGCGCACTGACCTCAGTGTAGAGCATGTAGAGTTCTACGTAATATAATACAACGTTGAAAGGTTACGTGGGCTTTGACGCCAGGGCCCTTCCCAAGCACTTGGATGGCCTGCGCTCATCCGCCCTATTGCTGGCCTTCCACTGCATTCCTGTATACGAGGTTGGCATCGTTTTGGATGCCCCTCACGGCAACTGCGAACTACTACTAGGGTTACTGCGACTGCGTTGGTGGCGGCGTCAAATTTTCCAGCACTTCGTTGATGCTGACTTGTGTCTGCCACTTGGGCTGCAGGCCAAAACACCTAAGAAGGAACTCGAGGATGATCTGCGACGCCTGGAAAAGGAGCAACAAACACCCAAGCCAACAAGTCACTAAGGCCGAAATCTTGGGGTACAAAGTGTGTGGTTGCAAGCGATTCTGTTTATGGAGAAACTGGACAGCCAGTCCACTGTAAAATGCTGTCAATCCAAGCGAGCATCTCGAGTTGCGTACCTCTGGTCCGGTGAGCACATCATTAAGAAGTATACTGACGGACAAATTCAATTCTGGGAAGCAAATGGCGACAGACCCTCCAACGTCTCCGTGACCAAGACCAACGACTCCTCGAGGCTTGAGTCCCAGAGTCGCTCCCCATGGATGTGAGGAAGAGAGGCCTCTATCACGCAGAAGGGCTTCTGCATCCGAATGCGGAATAGGGCAGCTGCCTCCTCCCGTGCTACCGAAGACGCTGTTGTCTCGCGAGCGCCTCCTTCGCCGTGGAACGAAGTCGCCCGCACTCGATATACGGCTGTGCAGAAAAGCTGCGCCCGTGTGGGCACCCTGCCCAGGCCTGACCCCTCCCCAGCCAGGAGGCGACAAGTATGCGCACTCGTACAGCTGGTAACCTAACCCCCAAGTTCTGCTGCCTCCCCCCGTCAGTAGAAGAGCCTCCAGGGTGGGGTCGACAGTATGGGCAATGCGGGCAGCGTCCAGGAGAGGCTTGCTTATAATTTGGCCTTCACCTAGGGCCGCGTAAAATCGAGCAAGGGCTCTCGCGGTGCAGCGGCAGTTGCTGGGAGGAATCAGCTGGTGCACAATGCGGTGGCTGTCGTATATGAGAGGGTCCATCACGTGCGGCTTCGTTCGTATCAGCTCAAGCACTGAAACTCGCGGAGCTGCCCCAGGGGGTGTTGGTGCTATAACTGGGCTGTCCGAGTCCGAGTCAGGGGTCCTCAACCCCTCGGTGAACGCGTCGCTTTGAGAGAGTACCGCCTCTTCCTCAGATTTCTGGCGGTAATCCTCCATCGGCCGCACTGCTCTTGTGCGCAAAAACACATCCGGCAGGCTCGCTGCACTGCGCGTGTTGCAAATTTGCACTTCCTGCATGTGCTCGAGGGGGCCTGAGTTGCCTTTCATGTTCTTCAGTCGTCGTCGGCGGCGTCTCATGGCCGAGGCGATGTGACGTCTAGTTTTACTGTCACCTTCGCTGGACAGCGCTCCATCAGCCTGCTCTTTCGCTCCCTCCAACTTACCCTGAGTTTGTTTGAGGCGCTGCAGCACTTCTTGTTGGGTCATGGGGTTGAAGGAGATCTTTCTGCGAGCGGAGGTAAGCCTCCACAGCAACGGGGTGTCGGCCGTCACTATCTCGACTTCCTTCGGAAAAGCAGACAGCTGACCCTTCTCCGCACTCTCTGCACTCCCATGTAGGGGGGCGCTGCACCTGCTGCTGCTGCTGCTACACCTGCTGCGGTCAGATGCCCCGTCATCTGCTTCAAGGGGCCGCCGAGACGCCGACGGGTCGCCCGGCGCCACTCTGCGTTCCGGCGAAGGGCTAACGGCGGATCGATCTCTGCTGTTATTTCTATCAGACGAGAACATCTCCCTCTTTGGGGTCAAAACAAGCTGTGGACTACGAGATGTGGTGTTGCTGGTGTGGCAACACTCTGTACTACCCCGTCCCCGAGCTTCCCCGTGGTAGGCAGCATTGTCATGGCCATCTTTACGCGAAATCTGAGGGCCAGGAAGCAAAAACGAAGAGCTTCGGTCGCTCAACGAGTACTGTTGAGATCCTCCATCTGCGCGGTTGCATGCATAGGTTGTCGTTGGTGCTTTGTCCGAGGAACTCAACGACTCCAACGTCTTTGACCGGCCCGAACTTGCAACAGCGATATTCTTTCCGGAGATTGCTGCTGCAGCCAGCCTCTCAGCTAAAGGGGATACAGCCCTCTCGTTTGAGAAGGAAGAGTGTTGAAGCTCCAAACTAGAAGCTACGTGCAGAGCCTGTTGACTGCTAGAAACCATCCGCAAGCTATCAGTGCTTGTTTGTTTCACATTAGGGTTGCCGGGCACACCGGTGGGTTTTGTAGTCGTACTATCTCCTATTACACCTGTCGCTGTCTGTGATGCTCGATCGGCAGAAATTGATTGATCGGATTCTTTCGGCACTCTGATGAAGATCTCCCCTTCAAGTCCTAGGGGCTCTAGCATGCGCTCCTGTATAAACGCGTCTATGGACATTCCCGAAACACAGCGCACCAACTCACTGACCGCCCACCCGTAAGTTAGGTACGCGTATCTTCCCCATGCTCCAGGTGGGCTCGCAGGTGGGGCGTCTTCCACTATGCGGACCATCTCGCTGTAGTCCGCAAGTCGAGAGAGGGTAAGATCTGCAGGTAGTGCGCGGTGAAGGCCTGCGCGGTGGGTGAGCAACTGCTGTACTGTTATGGCCCGCTTTCCATAACGAATGAAGCCGTCCCACCAACTCGACACCGCATCGTCAAGCTCCAGCTCCCCACTATTCACTAGTTGTAGCAATGCCGTACTTAAAAGCCCTGAAGAAAACGAAACGAAACCATAAAGCACCGCAATCCGCCATATTGCCATCCTCAACGTCCTGTCTGACTGCTTCGGGTGCTTCAAAGCTTTTGTCCGTTGCGGTACGCCTTTTGTGGAAATGAAGCAGTACTTTGCTTTAACTCTCTACCCAAAAGTTACGTCACCAATCGGGATGTGTTGAGCATCACCTTTCGCTGTACAGTAACCGCAAAACAGGGAGTCTGGGGTAACCGGGCGAGTATCTACAGGTCCCATCTGGCCAATGGCTGCATCGATTATCATTTCCCCTTCAAAACAAACTGCCACTTGGCACCCAAGGACCAACTTCCGTTCCACGAGGCTCCGTAGCAGCCGATTTAGCCGCTGGTGGAGAGAACTGCACGCAGACTTCACACGCCCACCGGGAACATTCCTTGCACCAAGTAAAATCAACATGCAACAAAAAGCGAAGACCCCGAGACAGATGAGGGAATCGGCAAACGTATAAGGGTTAAGGGAGTGTATGCACAGTGGGAGACTGTGTGGGCAAAAGAGAGCAATCCGTCAGCTTCGGCGTTGGGGCTTAGGGGTGCATTTGCCAAGCTAGGCACAATTACGTGGACACGAGTATTTGTGCGCAGAGTCCGGCGCACCACTTGGCAGCTCCTCTGCCTCCCAGAAAGTGAGTGTATATAAGAGGGCTCGGCGGCTGATAGCGATTAAACAGACATTCCTGCGCCCGGCGAACCATTATCTGCAAGAAGGGAATGTGCACGTTCAGCTGAACACAGAGGCCATGTAGAAGCGAAGCGACGCGCACAAAAAATATAATATCTTTCGGCCAGTCCTCAAGGGGATTTGCTGCGACAACCAACAATCAACGTAAGCAGCACACAGCTCCTCCATCTGCAAAGACGGCACTTTGCCCCTCCCTGCATAAACGATGGATCTGCCCATCCACAACTACCTGTCAGAAGGCTCTAGGCCGTGCAGCAGCAATAAAGGTGACTCTAAACAGGAAGAGGCACAACAGAGCCAGCTTGAGTGCTGCTCCTGCCTACACACAGTGACAGTCTGTATTTGTGCTTCATACCCTCTTGGATCTTCTTGCGAGTTATTCCGGCCTTGACAGCAGCTTGGACCGTCTCGCCCGCCGCCTTGTGAAGAGCCTCAGTCTCGTTTTTCTCCACTTCTCCTTGCTAATAAGCGCACCACACACAAAAATGTGCCTGCCAATGGCCATCCCCCCGGATGATTGCCGTTCATTCCACCGTTTGACACTTTTTTCATGGGGGGAAGGGACGGAGGGCACGAATTACCCTGAACGCCACTCGCAGTGCCTCCATGTAGATCTCTGGGTCTACTACGGCCCCTTTTCGCTCCTTAAACATGAAGCCCATGTGCTCAAAAGCCTCCATAAGGCCCATCACATCCATTGACGCAACGGAGTACACCTACATTTGTCAAACGCATGAAAGCAAACGATGCATAAAGACATGGAGCCCACGAAACCTACACAGAAACCGGCAGGCGAGAATCGGGAAATGGGAGCGCACAAGTTTCGAGAAGGCTGTTTGCCCTTTTGAGTCAAACTCCTTCACAAGCCCCCAGTCAAGAATGACAGGTTTCGCCTCTTTCGTTACAGGATTGACGGAGACCAATATATTCCCAGGATGAGGGTCCCCATTGAATAGCCCGTCAATGTGAATTTGATAAGCGAAGCTGTCGCACAACTTGTACATGAGCTCCCTCCGATCTACGTTGTATTGCTGCAAAAACCAATATACATATACCTCTGCTAACCCTACCCATCTACCCTACACCTCAAAGCACAAGCGGGACGGAGAACACATATATATATATATATATATATATATATA